ATTATTCATTTTAAAGTCTGGCTGCAATGGTTTGTAAGAAACTTGAACACCGTCAATGTACAAACAAAGAAAATTTATATTTCAATAATGAAAATTAAACGGATTCATAGTACCATCGCCATTTTAAGCTTAATTTCCAACAAAACCGACGATTATCCGCTTCGGTAACTGGCTCAAAATAATATTATCTTGAGTTTCGCCATGAATACCGCTGTGCATCGTCTTAGCTTTTACTTCCGTGTAAGCGGATATTTTGCCGTGCTCTTTGACAGAGCTTTGGTATGGGCTAATAAAACAGATGGGCTTATTTTAACTTGTCTCACTAAAAGATTTGCTTCTTCGATACGAACTGAAACCAAGTTTAAAGTGTCTATGAGACAAAATGCATCGCGAGATCTTACTAATCGCATTCTCACCTCGACGCCATTGATGAGTAATTTTTCCTGACTGCATACATCGCAATGAAGATGACCAATCAGATCAGTCGATTTTGTTGCTGGTAATAGTGCACGTCGCTTGACGAGGCCCGCGTTGGCATCCAACACATTGGCCATCTTTGTCACCGTATCGTCGAACTATAATGCACTCGTTAAACGGGATGATTTTGCCGCAGGACCGTAATTTAAAAAGTTTTCAAATACGCTCTGTAAGCTCTGTAAAATTATGTATTGACCCCGCCTTTGAGATTTTAGATGCTATGTCAGCATTTAATTCTTTATCTTCATTGACGGCCAACTTGACACAAAGTCTAAGCATCGTGTGTGCGAGATCAATATATTCGTCAACATTACCTGGTACCAAAAATTCGATCGGTTAATCATCCGTGAGCGATGATATCGGCTTGTGCTGAATCCAGTGCGATCCCTCGATTGTTGTTTGAGTCTGCGGGGTATCAAAAAAAGAAATTTAGAATTTAAACACTTACACAAGGGACTGTGTAAGGGCCATTTTTTAAAATGTTTACTTTCAAAAATATTTCTGGCAATTTTCTTTTCTTTCTTCTTTTTTCTTTTTAGTGTTCTCTTCTTCTTTTTTACATCTCGTTTGCACGTTTTCTTAATGTTTTTCTTTTAACTCTTATGACACATTGTCTGCACAGTTCTACGAAGTAATCGCAACTGAAATGGCTCGTCGAGTCGTCCAAGTTTATATCCCGAACCTTCTATAAGCTTGTCCAATTTTTACTCAGCTTTTCTTTTCAGCGCCTTACATGACTCCATCACACGAGTGCGGAATGTCTCTTTGAAAGGTATATTTTTAGCGGTGACGTCAGACATAATGTTCATACCTGCACGAACAGCTTATCTGCCAACAGCTTCGGCACCTCGTTTAATGAGTGGTTAAACTCGTCGAAGTACTCCAGCAAGAAACGATCCGATACCTCCGTGCCCACCTTTATAGGGAATCCCAACGTAAATTCGCTCAACACCTCCTCCACTGTTTCCATTAATTGTGGTCAGACTTCCACCACCACCACCACTTTGTGCAATAAAGTAGTCCTCGTAGGGATCCATAATTTTTAATCGATTCGTTTAAAGTGAAGCGTTACCATCAGCGTCCCGAAGTCGAATGGTATGGGGGCACCAATCAGGTCCTTTATATCGATTCGGATGTTGTAAAAGAAGTTAAACAATGATGGTATATTTATAGGTGGTAAGAAAATTTTATTTTTGACACAACCGTACGCGTAACCTTGAATATCCAACGACACCGCCCGCAACAAACGCGATTGAACGTCTCCTACAATGTACGGATCACAGATGTCGCTGTAAATCATGAGCATTGACGGTAAAGCATTCGCGAGATTTGCTGGATGAATGGATCGAATTTCAATAGTTAATAGCAATAGATGTATTCACTGCGCGCTGTTTCGGAACAGACTAACTTAGCCACTACGTCACCGCCTCTATCCAAACTGAAAACCACGTGATCTCGTGTGGTATAAAAACTATTGATTTCTTGTATCATTTTTTCGATATTTGTGTATAGACCGGGTCATATGTAATTATCTACATGAATCACAGGACGTTCTGTGTGTACATTATTGTGTAGTCGTGGTATATATTTTACGGTAATTTTTCTTTCGTTATTTTTTATCGCATGTGGAAATGTCAATGGTACTTGAATCTCTGTTATACCAACACTTTATTGACTTTGCAAATTAATTTGCTGAGAAAGTCTTGTTACCTAGTGCGCAGTAGTATTATCAGGATAATACTGCATGTTACTGTTGCTAGGCAACACAACGTGAAATTCGTCCTTCATTTTATATCTTAAATAATTAACTTTCACCCAGGAATTAAATTTTTTAGGATATCCCTTTCAGCTGACGAAATATTCTTCAAAGCGTCCTTTACCTCAACTTTTCAAAATCTTGTCAACTTCAAAGAAGCTCTTCCTTAATTCCTTTCGCACTCTGCTTAACTCTTTCTCGTAAAAGAAACTGTCAATGTCTTTGTCAGCCAAATCTCTGAAAAAATAAACTGGTGGTTGTCGCGTTTAAGATATTCGAACAACTCTAAAGTCCAACCGCTCCTTTGGCAAAGACATTTCTCGTCTTACTAATACGAACTAATTCTTTAACGTTTTACTTTAGATTCTTATAAATATGCCTGTCATAACTTTGCTTTATGTTTTCTCGTGCTTGCGCAACATTGTGCAAAGTCACGTCAGCTGGCGCCAACTTTGTTGGCGAATGCTTCATGCAATTGTATGACTCTAAGATACTTGGAAGAATGTCTACAAAGCGTCGATTGTTTTTGTGCTTAAAGTATCGCCACATTCTTTCTTTAATAGTTCTTATAAAACGTTCGGCTATTGCAGCCTTTGTCTGTAGGCTACCTGCTACTCCGTATTTAATATCATCTTCTTGTAAAACAGATTGCATTTCACGACCTACAAATTTTTTACCTTTATCCGTTTGGAAACACATTGGTGTACGATCGTCACTACTTTATAAAATATGTTCAAATGCTTTGACGACGTTTTTCGATGTTTTATCCTTGATAGGTACCACCCAAGCGTATTTGCTGACGACATCGATGACAACGTTTTTAAGGTTCTCAAGTCCATTAAATCAGCTTCTCACACGTCGTCAAATTACGCACGTTATAGCTTCTTCTGGGAAAGCGATTTCTTATGGGCCTATGTAAATTATAGGTATCTTACTTTCTAGCCAATTAATAACGTTTGATCGCAAAAATTTATGTTTCACGGCACTTACAAGTTTATAACCACCAGCTTATGCTGTTTGGCTCACCGCTTTGTAGTAAAGTTTTTGCAAGGTCTTATGTATTATTCTTTTTTTTCTTCTTCTTTTTAGACTTAGGTTCAATGGCTCTTTTGATGCGCAAAAAAAACTTTTCAAATGTAATCTAGCTACACATGCAGCATGCTGTCAATAAATTGACTGTTCGCTCATCCGGCGGCGTTCCTCCGGCAAGCATACGCGAAAAAGCAAATTCAGCCATCACCCGATCGGCTTTTAGACGATGGCCCTTCTTCTCCGTAGCGTAGGCAAGATCGTGCTGAAGACATGCTTCGTCCAAGGGATTTATACCCACATCACCGTGCTCAATGCGCTTCGATAGCTTTGTTCCAGGAACGCAAAATTTGTATCCAGGTGCATGCATCTCAAACATTAGCAAGTCTATGAAAGCGTCGAGAGAACTATTTATTTTTCTCCTCCTCGAGTCTTACTTCTGTTCCTTCGCCTTGGTCAGTTTTTCGCTCAATCAACGCTATGTTTGTACTTGATTCGACGAAGGCACAATTAAAAAAAAATTTTTTCTATTTTTCGGTGATGTCGTTGATTCAGTACCAATTTTATTAAGAAAACTTTCACTATTCGACGTAGATCTCGAGCTCTTATTTGGCGATTTTGATTTATCGTCGTCGTCGTCATCGACGACGATTAGTAATTTTAATACTTGAGCGTTTTCGACACACTCTTGCGGAATGTTTGCCATACAAAGTGCCACTGCAAAATAATCACAACCCACTGGTGTGCTTTTTTTCCTGTTCCTCAAGGCATCGGTCACCAGATCGACAATCTTCGTCTGTGGTATGCGAAAGCCACCTATGATGACGGTATGTTTATTGCTCCACTCAAAGTTACCAGTAGCGCCCAATCGTTGTATGATAAGTGCATCTTTTTGACGAAACTTTTTCGGTACGCTTTCGATTACCTTGGTATCCTGCTTTTCCTTCTCTTTACGCTTCTCTTCGTCCTCGTCGACGTCGTCGTCAGAGGGATCGTTATCTTGCGATACCTTGGTGGTCTCCGTGATCAGCATGTCGTTTTCTTTCGCTGCTTAATTCCCTAAGGTGGAAATATCGTTGTAAAATTTGTTGGTATTTCTTCCATTTTTCTCGCTCATCGGTATACGGTAAATTCAAGATGTTGTTCATTTCTGCGTCAAGCCGACTCATTGTTGTGCCTGGCGTTTGCACAGACTTCAGACCATCGTTGAGGAATGCGCTTCGCAATCGATCCATGCTTTTTTGAGTCAGAAGAATCGTTTTTTTTGTGTGCTCCATGTTTGTTACAGCATCGACAACACCGCTCCAAGGAACGTACCCAACAAAGCAGGTAAGAAACTTCCTCCCTGTTATGCGATGATTTTTTTTTTTGACGACGGATGAATTTTTGCGTTCGCGAGCTTTCTTAGAACTCTGGTGTGTCTACGCAAGCGTTTTTTGTGCGCTGCAGTTAGTGAAATGTTTCCTTAGAGAATGTTCAATGCACACTCGCAAATGTGCTTGATTAGCGTCTTATCTGCTTTTCGCAACAGAGCTTTCTATTGTTCGGTGTCGAGATGATAAAGAGCTCTCAAAATTGCGACGTGTTTCTGACCAATTGGAGAACGTGACTTTGGTGCCATTACAACGATACGATTGGAACTCGGTTCGCCGTGTCGCTTTCTTTCATCTGTTTCTCAGCCACGTATACGTACAGATACTCGTCATCCGGAAAAATACAAGTTCGAAATCGACAATTGTCAGGTGTATTTTGCTTGAGATTCAAGAAAAGGTAACCAAATGGTCGGGAAGTAGCGTCCCAATACGCTTTTTGCAAGAACCGAAGATTTTCCGGACACACTTGTCTCGAAAGATGTTGTATTTACTTGCGATCTCGTAAATTTCTAAAGATGACAATTTATTGCGAGTTTAGCGATATATCGCGTTGACTATTACCTTGATGAAATATATTTAGCGTGATAAGAATTACGCTCAAATTGTTTTGATGACTACCTTTAGTAGATAAGTTGACGATACCGCTACTACCGGATGATTCGCGCATCGAATCGTCAATAATAACTAGTTTTGATCTATGATCGCCCGCCCAATCGCTGTTGTGTAGTAATCCCTTGTGAAACTTAATATTACTCCTGAGATCGCGGTAACCAGGCTGCCACTCACCGTAACAAAAAATGACCCGCTCGAATCGAGTATCACTCATACGGTCAACATGTCGTAAAAACTGTCTGACAAACACGGTTTTACCGCAACCTGTGGGTCCGCTCAGTGTACACGTCCACGGGTGTTGCCATCGCGTATCCATACTGCCTAACTAAACTCTATCGAAAAGCTGATCGACCGCGGTGGGGGCCTCCACGGACCGCTCGCAAAACTGCAAGCGCTTTTGGAAGGTTAGCGCAAAGGCGGCTCGTGCGTCCAATCAGCTCGTTTCGTCGGATCAACTGCTAATCGAGTTCTTTTCACCGCCGCCACCGCCGCCGCACCCTACCATCGTTTATGGATGGCAACCAATCGGTTTGTAACGTCGCGGCGGTTGGAGCACCTATTGCGCATTTGATCAAGATTACCTTATTACAAAGTTTCCTTCTTATTCGTGGCAGTTTAAAGGTTGAAGTCACACGAGTAACTGACATCAAGATGATTTTTTTTTTCAAGGTTAGAGATTCGTGATAAAGAATATGCTGATGTCACAGTTTTCGAAATATGTATCAAGTTTTATCGAACATTCGTCGCAACGGTTTTAGGAATGCGCTGACGCGAGTATAAAGTGATCAAATACATTTTTCGGTACGTGAGGATAATTTTTGAATTCATGGTTTAAGTTTTGCGGTAAAGAATGTGCTGATGTCATCTTTTTTGGAATATGTATCGTATTTCATTAAACATCCAATGCAATACCGATACGAGTATCAGGTGATCAATTACATTTTTACCTAGTATAAATAAGAAATGTGTTGGTCCTGAGAAGGACCGATTTTTGCAATTAAATTAACTGTCTTTCATGACTGTGTATACATTTTTTTTCGGATTCAGAAAATTATTTAGGGAAATGTTTTTTTTATTTTTTTTTTCATATGATTTTTCTATAAGCGGTTTTCGACAATCATCATCATCATCGTTCCTAGAGCTCGTCGATGTAGCGATTGCTTTGCTATGTTTCAAACCTATCTTGTCGTTTATTTGTTGATGTATTAGCTGTGAAAAGGGAAATGAACCAACCAACAGCTTTGCGGTACCTCGACCGAGTGAGTGTTTTCCCCTACTCTGATGTATTATATCCCTTCTCCTGCGACATCACGTTGGTAACCATACGGATAACTCGTTGTCATGCTGTCAAAATATCTTTTACTATAGACTGGTTCACATGTTTTTATTTCCGGTTGAGTCACTACATCGTAAAAAATTTTGCGACAAGTGGAAAAATTTGACTATTTTATTTCCGTAATATTGGTCATAACAAGCTCACGAGTCGTATCAAAATTTATCTTTTGACTATTGCTATAATTTAATCTAATACCTTTCACTTTGCAAACATAATCTTCACTACCGTCTAGTTTTTTAATCTTATGTGCGTAAAACTTTGGTCCACTGGATAAAAACGAAGAAATGTATGCGCCAACTCCTTTATCGGCCAATTCGTCAGTGAGACTGCCTAGTGTCGTGCCAATGGGTAAATCGTCCAGTCCTTCTCGAGGAACACAAAAAATTGGAATCTATGTCGTAATAGAGAGCACGTTCTCCCAGAAAATGCAGATACTCGAAAAGCTCTAAGCATGCTTTTGCTGTCACAAAAGCGGCAACCACAACGTTACTTGATGGTAATGACGTCAAGGCCTCAGTCTTATATTTCCAGTTAACGTACAATGTATCATCGTTGACAGGTAAGACACCATTGACATCGATTTCTGCACTCGTAGGTAATTCCATTAATCTTTCTAGGACCGTCACCACCTCGGTCTTTGTCAGATTTTTACGTTGACCAAAGTTACCACACAAAGAATTGAGTAATAATTTTGCAACGGATCTTAAACCAGCATTAAGGTTTCTCTCATTTTCGTCGAGATTTATTCCTTCAGTTCTACGAATTTCGTCAATATAAAACTCCTTTTTCTCATTAGATATGCAGGTAGGTGGGTAACCTGAAGCTAGTGTTTTTTGTTTAAGAAACTCGTTAATATAATGTGCAAATAATCCTCCTTTGTCCGTTTCTTGATTGTACTGTGTTACCTAATATTGATATATTTCATAAACATTTTTAACGATATAACCTGCGTGGAAAGCCACCTTGACTTCTTCGGATACCCACGTACCTCTTAGAATGCGGTCTCTTTCATCGTCGTGGATACGGTACTCTTAAAGCAAATTCTCACAACACGTACGGCACAAAGAAAAAATAAGCTTACCATGCATTTTCACCGGTAATACAGGATGATACACATTTCTAGGTGGTAGCACATCACACATAATTAAACTGTTAACTTGGAGAATATCATTATTGTCACCTACTTTTTTCTTACACCTTGCTTCATTAGAGCATAACATTGGATGACCAACGGGGAATATACCTCGTTTGCAAATATATAGATACAAAGAGCATATGTCAACGTATTTAATTTTTTCTCCATCCTGACAAGCGTACATTATTACAGTGTTTCCTGTTCGATCACCGAAAAATGCATCACGTGGATTTAATGGTTTTCTACTCCAATAATCTTCATTTTCTCGAATCAAATTTGAAAGCTCTTCGTTTTCACGTATTTCTCGGGTAAAGTCGCATTCCCATTTTTCTATCAACTCATAATTTGACATTTTTATCTTTTTGTTAATCGTGCAAGTTTTCTCATATCTATCATCCATTGTATCACCGGTCGTCAAAATGGTATCTCGGTTTATTCGGTAACACCGTGGGCAGCCGTTCCAAAAGCAACCTTGGAATTGTAATACGATTCCACGATGATCATGCAAACCATCCAGAGGAGTACAGTAGCCATCGACGAGGATACCTTCTGGTAAGCGTCTCTCTTGGCAGTGTCCAACGTGTTCGATAAATCGCTGGAGAACGTATTTGTCCATCCAATAAAGCCATTTTAAAGCTATTTCAGATTGATTGTTAGCCATTCTGTAACCTTTTTGTGTTAATATACCAATTTGATTTTTTTTAGAAATTTTTTTCTATACACACGCATGCTGGTCAAAGCGATAGTTGTGCATTCCCCAAAAGGGTCCACCTCGAATTTTTCTAAGGTTTTTTGAAAAGCTGAGCAAGCTAATCTTAAAATTTTCACGTTTTGCCTACAGTATTTTATAATTTCATTTTTAAAGTCAAATACGTAATTATTTTCTACTCGTTCATTGTACCATTTTAAAAACTGATCTTGATCTTTCGTATGCATGCTATCGAGTGAATATATGTCAAGCGGCGATAGAGGGCCTATGTACGATTGATTTTCAGGTTTGTTAAAAAAATGTGGAAAAATACCGTTTTCAATTTCCAACAGACCGTAGGACTTGGGTGAGCCGCTTAAAGGCATATAAAAGTAATTAAAACTATCGATAAATTTTATTTTTATAAATTCTATCAATGTTATTTTTGATTCGTTCATGACAACGGATGGTTCTACGCGTTCGCCGAGTTTTTTCACTATATACTCAAAAATAAATTAAGCATCAAATCCTTGTGCATTGTGAGCTATGCAAATGACCTTGTCACAATATTTTTGGTGATCCGAAGCAAGATCTACCAACTTTTTGAATGGATTAATTTGATATGTATATATATATATATATATATATATTTTTTCACGAATGCCGCAATGAGCGCAGCTTATCTAAATATCTTGTACGTTGCTACAAGCATTACAAACTTGTTGAACGATACACAGATTTCCTTCGTGGATTTTTTTTCTTATCACCCACGATGGATGTCGTCTTTTGCGTTTCAAAATTGTAGAATAATATTAAAAAATTAGGCTTTCTGCTGTCCAGTTTTAACGGTTGAATAATTTACGTGTAAATACTCTTTACAATTGCAACAAAAAGAAATACCGCGTTGACGTTTATGTTTCTTGTTTGATATTCGCACAGTTTTGCAATATAACCCGCAAATTTTTATTTTTTCGCAAACGGTAAAAGATTTACTATACGAACCTTTCTTAAAATGATTTTTAAAACACGTGAAGTTAAAAAATAATCTGTGGCACGAATCACACTTTTTTTGATAGACCCGTCACATCGCAAAGAGGAGATTGCATACACTTGTAGCATTTTTTGGAGTATCTGTGATCCTCGATACGCCAATAACTCTTACTGTACGGTAAACAGTATCCACAATTACCGCTTGCACCGATAAAATTCAGTATATTCAGATTTGTCCTTGAGTCTCTAAAACTAAACGAGTACCATCGTACAGGGGACGATGAACACGCCCAAAATTTCGAAACGAATAAACGACAATCTCTGTCTTGTGAGTAGAAAAAAAATCTTGAAACCCGTGAACCTCTGCAAGGCCAAACCCTGTATCAGGCACACAAACTATTGTCAATCGCAAAAGCTCTTCGGCAGCTCTCTTTTGAGTGGGCCCGTAATCGTGTTTTATAAGGTTCCAATAATTATGTGGCCTACCTGTGCGTATTTGTCCCTGGACGACGTAAGCCTAAGCTGCTGCTAGAGCTCGTGGTAAACAAAGATAATCGTTGTTATTGATAGTTAATGTTGATTTTTTCCGTACGTTGTTCTCAGTCAAGGTTACACGTCCTCTTTCACTGATACCACTCGTAATGGCACAATTAATTGACCAACTGTCATCGATTTCGAAGTCACTCGAACTTTAGACGGCATTAAACAAAACATCCCACAAATCTTCAACAACAAAATTTCGAGTAGGCCTAAGAGATATCCGCAATGGCCCGTGATGAAACATTTAAGAATTTATAGTAACACCTATAAAGTCCTCAGGAATACTTTTTTTTACTGAAAAATTATGTAAATCATTCATACAATCCTCAAGCCATGCGTATATTTTAACATTTGGGGGTGGTCTCGCCATTTTATCTTGAATTTCTCGTCCTTCATAATTAATTCGACGATATCGTCTAGTTGTTATGTTTTCAATGATAAAACGTGGATGTTCCCCTTCGCCATTCTGCAACGGAAATTCTTAAAAAACATTTTGAATATTTGAAAATAACTAAAGAAAAAAATGTATCTCATAATAATTACCAACATCCTCGCTACTGTCGCTGTTACTACTGCTACTACTACTACTACTACTACTTCCGGGTGGGGTTTTTGCTAATTTCTCCATACCGGGCGCTTCCCCGGGTGGCGGATAAGGGCATCCTCTTAAGATATGAGGTGACGATGGGCAACTGGGGTGGTTCTCTGTGGTGGTGGTCGAGGGCGTGAATGGGGAGGCGTGTGTGGCGTTGGCGTGTGTATCTGTGGCGGTGTGGACAGGAGACTAGTGCCCCTTATCTTCATTAGTGTGGATGCATGGGCCGGCTCTGCTTGTGCTCCTTGTTCTCCGCTTTCTGCTGCGGCTGTGGGTGGCACTGTATTGCTTGATGCGGGCCAAAAAAAACTGGCACCCGTCGTGTATAGAAGAAAGCGGTGGTTAAAACATTCTTCTCAGATACATGCATCACACTCTCACTAAACAAACACAGGGATACTTACGAATTGTTCTGGGTTGCGTGTGGTAGGTCCTTTTCCGGGCTTGCGTTGGAGGCCTGGCGGCGGGTAAAGCCGGACGATGAGGCCCAGGTTAGTCTGAGCAACCACATCTGATATGGCTGTACGCCTAATAAACAAACAAGACGTGGTAGGCCGACTAATCTAGGCTTACTACCACTGAGGAGGCTATATGGCGGCACTCTAGGGCCTTACGCCAACTTTTGTTGGGTTGTCTGCGCGGTCGTGGGACTGTACACCTGCCGCTCGTCTCGCTGGGATGACCGTTGTGTACCAACATATACATACATGACACACGAACACCATTCTTAGACTTGTTACTCAACGCCAGGGCAGTCTCCGTGGGTGGGACTGAGGGAGAGTGGCGACTCCCGGCCAGCCCGAGCAAGTAGCGGTCTTCTCTGGTAACAGAGAGGGCCGCTGCCCTGGTTTTAACCCTTTCCAAATACTTATTTCTAGAAAAAAAGGTAGTGCTGGCCTTCGCGGGTCAGTACGACACTCAAAAAGATGCCAAAATGAAAAACGTCGATGCAAAACTAGTACCCCAGGCGGTAACCTCTCTGAGGGAATCCGCCGGCAGTTCCGATCCGGTGAAAGCCCGGGTGACTGACGCAGGCCCCACGGATTCTGGGGGGGGGGGCACAAAGACGTGTTTCATGGCCAACAGGGACTGCTAAATGTTCCATCGCCTTTTCTTACAGACAAAGGACGAAGAGAAAGCCTGTCGAGTATAGGCACTGAAGACACCGAGGACAGCAACGTGTCAGTATTTAGCAACCAGACCCGGGAGGAGCTTGCCTCTTTAGAAGAAAGTGTCGCTATCCGCAGAGTGAAGCGACAGCAAGTTGCTGATAAAGTCCAATCAGCAACGAAAGACATTACAGAGACGCTACAACTGATTAATGATAAGTACGGCAACACAGCGAACGCTGTTAAAAATGGGTTCAAAGCGGCGCTTAAGCATCTTCAAGAGGGAGAGGTGCTAAAAAAAGGATGTCTTACTGAAGAAGATTTGTACACCAACTTTTGAAAGTCGTCATTTGAATCCCTGCAGTGGAGGAAAAAAAGGCGAGATAATTTCCGACAGCATGTACAGAAACGAACCCTGAACACTGCCCTAAAAGAAATAGAACGATGTAAAAGGAACAGAAGCCCATCTGACAGCCCTGAGAAACGCCAGCAAACCTTGTCTTCAAAGAAAAAGAAAATAAGCAGTGGCAAACAAAAAGAGATTTTCCTAAATGACAAAACAAGCCAGAAGAAAAAAGTGTACGTGACAACAACAGTAGTGGTAAAGATGGCCGAAGGACAGTCCTTTGCAAAGGTGCTGAAGACAATGAAGGCGAACTTTGACCCTAATAAGGCTAATGTGGCAGTCCAAAGTGTTGTCACTACAAAAAAGGAGACATACTTATTAAGGCCAAAGGTGTAGAGAATGCTATTGCATTTTCTCAGAAAAATGGAAAAGTCGGTAGTCGGATAGCGTACTGTCAAAATGAGCAACAAAAAATTGATACTAGAGGTCCGAGACCTGGATGCTATTGTAGAGGAAGACGAGGTCAAAACGGCTTTCGCTAGGACTTTTAAACTCAGGAGCCAGGAGCTAGAAGTAGCCCTCCTAAGACCAAATGCCAGAGGACAGAGGCTGGCGTTGATAATGGTGGATGAAACAACTGCCAGACGAGCAGAGGAGGAAGGCAGGCTACTAAAACTACTACTACTCCTCGAGGAATTGAGGTCGGTGGCGTTAAAGACGCCGGGCCGCAAGGTCCCGGGTCCGGACGGGGTGACGTTAGATGTCCTAAAGGTGACAGCCGCGAAAAAACCACACGTATTGCTAGACATGTTTAATGCGTCTCTGCGCAACGGACTGTTCAGCGAGCAGTGGAAGATCCAAAGGCTTGTCCTCTTGGACCAGGGTAAACCGTTCCGCAGTGGGATAAACTGATATTTTTCGTTTCAAAACTACGTAAACTTTCTTAGGAGAAATATTTTTTCATTAAAGTTTTTGGATCTTATAAGTATGATGACGAGGAACAACAGAAAATGAAGGAAAAATGTAAAAAAGGAGATCCTAACCTGCCACTTTTGGATTACTTTAGAAATTTTTCAATTTAATTTTTTTTTTTCTTTTTCTGTTGGAAAATAAGTTTTAAGGAGCTGGTATTATACCTTCATACTTATTTTACATATATTCTTCATTCTTTTAAATAAGGTATCAAAATTGCGTCTAAGAAGTGACTTTTTTGTCAAAATTAAGCATAATTTCAAAAGAAAAATTATTTTCTTTAGAAAGTTTTCTGAAGTGTAAGTATTATGGCTGGAAGTGATAAATAACTACTCAACGATATAAAAAAAAGAAAATTAACCTACATACTCATGTGGTATTTGGAAATTTTTTTCGTGTTTTTGAAAAATTTTTTTTTGTT